AGGGGCACCTGGGTGGCGCAGTCGGTTAAGCGTCCGACTTCAGCCAGGTCACTATCTCACGGTCCATGAGTTCGAGCCCCGCGTCAGGCTCTGGGCTGATGGCTCGGAGCCTGGAGCCTGTTTCCGATTCTGTGTCTCCCTCTCTCTCTGCCCCTCCCCCGTTCATGCTCTGTCTCTCTCTGTCCCAAAAATAAATAAACTTAAAAAAAAATTAAAAAAAAATAAATAAACATTTTTTAAAAATCCTGGGAAGAAAAAAAAAATCAGAAAGAAATAAAACCCTCTGTCCATGCCTGTCTGCTCCGCAGCCCATGTCCATGGAATGTCTCTCCTCTACATGACCTGCTTCTCTCTGGGAAAGAGGAATGATTTTGACATTATATAAGGAGAGGAACACTAGCTGTTGGTGTCACCATAATTGTCAACAAATCTGGGACAGATCTGGAGAGAAAGAAGAAAAACTGCAGGACCAGTGTGATGTCTACCCTCAGCGTGAGGGAGCAGCAATCAAGAGTCTGAGAAAAGTGAGTCAACTTCTTCCACCCTCTGAGGGGCCCAGCGGGAAGTTGATGGAGAGATGTCACTGCTCAGAGCTGCTGAGTGGAACACAAAAGGAACCAAGGAAGCAAGGCATTTCTTGTTTGCCTTGAATTTTTGTTTTGAATCTCTTATTATCAGTCTCTAGCGCCCTCTTGAGGGAGTATAGCTATTGGAACCATGAGCCCTTTCTCCACCTCTTTTAGGGAAACTTCATCTGGTCTACAGAAATATTTCCCAGAAGACCTCATCCTCTTCTTCTTTTTTTTTTTTTAATGTTTATTTATTTTTGAGAGAGATAAAAAGACAAAGAGCAAGCTGCAAGTGGGGGAGGAGCAGAGAGATAGGGAGACACAGAATTTGAAGCAGGCTGCAGGCTCTGAGCTGTCAGCACAGAGCCCGATGCAGGGCTTGAACCCATGAACCGTGAGATCATGACCTGAGCTGAAGTCTGGTGCTTAACCGACTGAGTCACCCAGGTGCCCCCAGACCTCATCTTCTGTAAGTCAGCAAAGGGTGGAGTTTCTTGGGAGAACTGAGGGAAATCTGCCACTAGACCTGGCATCTGCATCTTGTTAGAGACTGAGCTAAGCCTCAATTTTCCCAGCTACAAATGGGTTCTAACCTTCCTCTGCCTCTTGGATCCAGATACAGGATAGATAAAACCCCTTGGGAAACACCCTAGAACATTTTGAAACCTTTTGTGATGTTCTTTGCTTTCATTTAGGGACTCCAGCTATAGGACTTAAGTGATATGGTTTAGACATCTGTCCAGACCATTGGGACACAACCCTAATAGCAAAAAGGGTAAGGGTTGAGAGTCTTGTGGTGCAGATAAGACTGTGAGCTGAGGAGATGGTCAATAAGGGCAGCTGTGGAGACTTTAAAGATGCTGGGCACAGAGGAGTGTGGGCAAAGCCAAGACAAGACTGGGCACTTGCTGCTGTCTATATCCTTCTGGGGTCCAAGCCATTTCCTTGTCCCTTCACAGGCAACTCTGGAGCATGGGAAGCCAGGGGTTGGGGATGGACAGAGAAGTTGTTGTATGGTGTCATGTTATGAGTCACATATGACATATGTCACTATGAATCACATATGCCAGGGCACCTGGTGTCACATGAAGGCTCAGGGTACACAAGAATAGCTCAGTCACTTGCCTGTTAAACTGTGTGGAAAGGTTTAGGACAGTGACAAGAGGTGAGATGTCTTGTGTTAGAGCTCTATGTGCATGGAGAGATCTACAGATTAATGATTCCTCCCACAGAGCAGATCTGATGCTCAGCCACAGCTCTTCTGACCATACAGACTGACATCTATGGTGATGCTTTAGCATCCTGGGCACACAAGTCACACTTAAACCACACCCTGGGTGAAAAGGACCATGACATCATGTTGATCAGAGCGCTTCTAAGAAAATTATTAACCAATGAAGGGGAAACCAGGAGTTGTCACCAGGGGACCAGGCTTAGCTGGTTCCTTCTACTAAGGGCAGATCTGTCTATAAACTGCACCTCTCGCTTTTTGCATCCACAAAGCAGACATGTCTGATGCTCTTCAGTGGTGCTTTGACTGCACTGATGTAATGTATATAATGATATCATGGAGTGTTATGTAGCTTGATCTATATTTGATCCAGGTCCAGATGGACAGAATGGAATCAGGGAAGCCGGGGCCACAGGCACGGCAAGAGTGACAAAACCTGCTTTTTCTTCACTGTTTCATTCACCAAGCACTCTCAGATCTCTATAATATACCATCACTGGGTTTGACAACAGGGAATAAAAATGAACACACATTAGATAATGGGGTATCTATACAGATCAGGAGCCTTAAGTGTCCTTACTTTTTGGCCCTGAAAGTCAACAGCTAGGAAAATATCCTATAGAAATAACTTCACTTATGGAGAAGGTTTTATGGGTTAGATGTTTAGTACAGCTTATTTACAAAATAATTTAAAATTAAAAAAATGGAATCTGTCCAAATGTGCTTCAATAGTGCATGATAATATTAATGCACTGGGCTCATGGTTGAATAAATTAGGCAGCTCTTAAAAAATACTGGAATGATTTGGGAAAGTCTTATGATGTTAAGTATAAATAATAAAAATACAAAATTACATTCATATCATGATTACAACATTGCCCCTCACCTCCCAGACACACAGTAAAAAAAAGTAAGGAAACAAGTTAGCAAACTGAATTATCATAAACCTAGAAAAAATTGCACTTGAAAGAAATAAACCAAAATGTTAATAGTGGTTAGGTTTGGGTAATAACATATTTCCTATTTTCCGGGAAAGAAATCTTACTCAAATTATGCCTCAGAATTCACATGTGCCACAGTAAGACAGGAAGAATATATAGGCAAACACCCACATCCTTACTGTCACTTGCCTTGCCATCTACTTAGCTTTCAGAAATAAAATAAGTTTTAATCTTTTCTGTATTTTATATATTTTCAAATTAGCTTTTGCTAGGGTGCCTGGCTGGCTCAGTTGGAAGAGCATGAGACTCTTGATCTCAGGGTCATGAGTTCAAACCCCACATTGGGTGTAGAGATTACTTGAAAAATAAAATCTTTAAAATAAAATTATTTTTTGCTACTTTTGGGGTGATCTACAGTTCACATTACAAATCAAGTACAAACACCCAATTTGAATTAAAAACATTAGTAATGTTGCTTTTTCCCTACTCCTATGAGACTCCCTTCTACAAATGTGGAGAAGACTTTGTGCAGACTTGATCTCTGAGCAGCAGCAGCCATTTTGTAACCATGAAGTGATAAGCTCCACCCCCCCCCCCAAAGAAAAGCCAACAAAATTTGGGGGGAAATAAGAAAAGAGTCCCTGATGATGTCATTAAGCTGCCAGACAAACCCTGGAAATGCCATCTTGACTTTACATTGAGGAAACAGGAAATGTTCTAGGATTTTTGAGGAACAAGGACTTCCTTTGAAAATTTCTTCACTTTCTTGGGGCACCTGGATGGCTCAGTTGGTTAAGCATCTGACTTTGGCTCAGGTCATGTTCTCATGGTTCATGGGTTTGAGCCCTGCGTTGGGGTCTGTGCTGATGGCTCAGAGTCTGGAGCCTGCTTCCAATTCTGTGTCTCCCTCTCTCTCTCTGCTCATCCCCCACTCACACTGTCTCTCTCTCTCTCTCTCCCTCTCTCAAAAATAAACATTAAAAAAGAAAATGTCTTCACTTTCTCAGTTACAAGAGATGAATACGCCACCACTGATTTAATTGTAGGTCCCTTTTATTTTCACTTTTTGCTTTTAGGGTCCTTTTTAAAATTGTTACAAATAAGCTGTGACAAACACCATTATGCATACAATGTTCTTCATCTTTGTGTTTATATCTGTAAGATAGATAATGGCAGAGTACTTTGCTGGTCAAAGGGTAACAACCTTTGAGTTGTTGAGTTGTTGAGTTTAAGGCTCATCATTCACTTAGCCCCCCAGTTAGCCCAACTAACCCAGGGCCCAGCTGTTTTGTGTGAGCCTCAGCCTTTTGATAGTGATGCTGTGAGCTACAAATACCTGGGGTAGGTACTGCTTGTGGTGAGCCCCTCAGACATTTCCCCAACTGGAGCCAATGTTGTGACTGGATCAGCCCTTGTGGTTCTTACGATTGTAACAACCACAGGGAAATTTTAAAATACAAGGTTTATTACTCATAGGGGTACACGGCATGTCTGAGGGTCACCCAGTGAGGTTACTGGTAGAGAGAGAATAGAGTGTAGACCTGGTGCTCTGCTTCTTTTGGCGTTAGGGGTGGGATGCCTGGGGCTTTGTGGGTTCACTATTGGTAAATGTAAAACATAAGAGCAGGAATTAGAGTGCAGGAAGGGAAAAGCAGAGTGGCTCAAGTGGCCAGTGATATAGGTTACTCAGGCCTCTCTGAAGGGAGAAATTTATGGACGGGGCAGCCTGGCTCTTTATCTAGTGGTGTCACAGGCAGTGAGTCTTTGAAATGGGTGCCTCAGCAATCAAAAGCTTACATTACAATCAAAAGAACACTTAGGTTACCATCAAAAGAGCTAATTGCCAGGCATTTATACTACCTGATATTGCAGAGATTTGTACACGTTTGATGATCCAGCCAAAGTCTGAAAGGCCAGCCTCAATCTTGCCCCTTGGTAGCTGAGGCTTCCCCAATTCTGCTTGTCTCCACCTGGGGTGTGTTTTAGCATGGGGTGTGTTTTTCAAGACTCCATGGCACTGTCACCTGTGTCACATCGATGCCATTTGAACAGCTGGGTGCATATCAGAAGGCCCTTTGGGTGAAATGCTTGATGGATGGATCTGCTCTTGTGAGAAGGCGCCAGCTAACTGGGTCACACCAGCATCTCACCTCCTCTCACTGTGGGAACCATTTCCTCCTCAAGTAGGCAACCAAACCGTTGTTGCAAATAACCTGAACCCTTGTGGCCACCCAGAGCTCTCCTGGCTTTATGCAACTCACGCATGACACCAACACCAACGATTTAAAATCCACCCCACCCACCTTGGTTTCCTCAACTTTCTATCTTTTATTGCCCTGAGGCTGCTTATAAAGAGAAGACATGGCTTAGACCCCAGAAGGAGGCAGTGGCTGCAAGTCCCCAGTGTCAGCTCTGCTTGGCCACTGCTTGATCTCACACTCTGCTGCCCAGCGACATGGAGGTCCCCAAGGCTGCCCTGGCTGTCCTGCTTCTCACCGCGACACTCTGTTCCCAGACCTGCTCTTCCTTTTGTGAGTCTGTCTTCCCTTCTCCCTCTTGCCCTGCCCTCCTGCTATCTGCCTGTGGCTTGGACCACAAGGCCAAAGTCTTGTGGCTTAGCCGCTCCAAGTAGAGAACTTCAGAAAGATCTCAGAGACTATTTCCTGAGAAGGATTTTCTTTCCCATGAGGTTTTAGCAATTCTGTTGTCCAGCTCTGGGAGAGAGTGGGAGGAAGTCCCTTTCTAAGGGTAGAAAAATGGATGCCCAACTGGGATTTTGACAAGAGGTAGAATCTGTGTCCAACTGGCTCCCAGGGGTGTGTGTGGCCTTGGCTCTCCTCATGAATTCCAGATACAACTACCCAGGGAGAGGCAGAAAAGGAGTAGTTTGTTTAGAAAACTCAATTCCCTACAGAGAGACAGAGAGACCCCCAAGCCAAGATAGACACTGAAAGAGAGACACAGAAATAAAAATGTCCAGGAAAAGATCTCTTCCTTCTGGATCTCTTTGTACCCACATTGCCACTCCAGAGAAATACTGTCTTCTTCCAGTTCTTCCTGACCCTCAGGGAGTGGCTGGCTTGTCCTTTCTTCTGAAGAGTGACTTAGGGTCTTTCTGTTCTGTCTCTCTCAGTTGGTGCCGACACCCCCACCTCTTGCTGCTTTGTCTATATCTCCCGGCAGATTCCACGCAAATTTGTGGTCGACTATTATGAGACCAGCAGCCAATGCTCCAAGCCCGGTGTCATGTAAGGCCCAGTCTTCCTGCTCAGCCTAAGGAAGGAGATGGGAGGTCTGGGGTGAGGCACCCCTTGAAGGACTCAGCCTTCTGAGACCCATCAGAGCACAGTATGCCAAGGGAGGCCACTGCCATGTTTTCTCACCTGGTCTGGTGCCTGTAGGGAGTCCTGGAGGACCTGTCCCTGGACAGAGGGAAGAGAGAGTTGAGGTGACAGTAAGAGGTTGGCTTTCTGAGTGGACTCCCACTGGAGACCTAGAGAAGGTCATGATCCCCAAGATTGAGGGCACATTTTGTGAGCATATGGATAGACCCTGAGAGGTCTGAGGCAGAGGAGGATGGAGGGGTCACAGTGGATCCAGGATTCCCCTGCTAGATTCTTCAGTATGTAATCCTTTCACCCTTCTCCACAGCTTCCAAACCAAAAGAGGCCGGGAGATCTGTGCTGACCCCAGGGAGGCCTGGGTCCAGGAATACATCACCAACCTGGAGCTGAATGCCTGAGTGGCCTAGAAGCTACAAGAAAGGTGTTACATCTATGTGCAGACTGGGGGCAGTCACCTGAGCCAAGGCAATGACCTTGGAACTCTGGAGGCACCTCTCCTATGGGTCACACCCCCACCCCCAGCCACACGCTACAGCCCTTTTTAACTTTAATTTTAGTTTTTGTATCTTATTTAACTTTTGTAATTTATTTCCATTGTTGAATTGTGTGATGTAATAAATATTTCTGCTGACATCTCACAACATCCTCTCCACCTCCCCACGACCCTCCCTTTTCTGTTCTCACACTCAATATGTGGGTCAGTCAGCAGGATTGGCACTGTCTTGTAGCTGTTGTATCATATATATCAAACAACAAATGTTTACGGAGTGGTTTTGCCCAGCACGGCTCTTCAAAATATTGAAGGTCCTTATATAAAAGGTAAACCAGCATTTTCCTTTTGATGACTCCATTGATTGTGGTTTCCCAACTAATCAGAGCCACAGGTTGAGAAGAATACTGGGGGTGGGGGGGAGTTTCGAGACCTCTGAAGAGGGACAGAAACCACAAGAAAGGGACAGAGTGCCAATACCGTGGTGCCAGACACTTCCCGGAGATACTTTCCTGGAAAGTTGAAACTGACTCATTGTTTTATCACCAAATCATAATTGATGCAATCTAGGAAATCTTTCTACTTAAATGAATACCAAGATGACGCACACTGTGGTATATATTGGTGCATGTGAGTTCATTTTCATAAGTGAAGCTTTCTTCAGAATGATGGTTGATGTCCATTGAGGGCTTAGCAAGTGCTGGGGGATTGAGAGCCTATGTCAGTGACACTCTGGCAAACCTGCCTGCAAGGGCTACCTACCTGCCAGCTGGCTGAGAGCCCTGATCAGCTTCTCTGTTTTTCCACACTCTACTTTCTGGGAGAATATTCTCCATAGCCATATCTGGGGGGAGGCTTGGTGGCTACAGTGGTCAGAATTATAAATAAAACTACAGAATGAATAATTTTTTAGTGTATGTCCCATGCAACCAATATTTGGGATATACTTATAAAAATTATTCATTGTATATCTGAAATTCAAATTTACCTGGGGATCTTGTGTTTTATCTGGGAACCCCACTTAGGGTGAATACTTTTATAGAGGCTGTCTATTTCTTGCTGGATATGGATGCCTAAGGGTTGGATTATGTTCAAAGCAGTGCTTTTCAACCTTGATTTCATGTTGGAATCACTGGGGAAAGCTTTCTAAAACTGCAGTGTTATGAATTTAGTTCAGGTTTTGGAGATTGTGATGCTAAGTGAAATAAGCCATACAGAGAAAGACAGATACCGTATGGTTTCACTCTTATGTGGATCCTGAGAAACTTAACAGGAACCCATGGGGGAGGGGAAGGAAAAAAAAAAAGAGGTTAGAGTGGGAGAGAGCCAAAGCATAAGAGACTGTTGAGAACTGAGAACAAACTAAGGGTTGATGGGGGGTGGGAGGGAGGAGAGGGTGGGTGATGGGTATTGAGGAGGGCACCTTTTGGGATGAGCACTAGGTGTTGTATGGAAACCAATTTGACAATAAATTTCATATATAAAAAAAAAATAAATAAATATATAAAAAAATGAATTTAGTTCAGGTTTAGTTAGGTGGGGCTGGGCATCAGTGATTTTAAAACTCCCCTGGTGATGTTAACACACAGTCAGTTTGAGAACCACTGTTGGGGTGTAGTCATCAGCTGTTTGGGCCAGCCTTTGGGGTTTCAGAGTCAATATGGCTCCTTTCTAATTTTTCAAGCCTTCTGATCTGGTTTGGGTCACTTCCACTGGATGGTTATTTGGATGCAGAGAATCTGTCAGTCAAGGTCACTGCTAGAAGTGGGTTCAGAATGCCCCTCTTGCAGCACAGCGCTAGTCTTCCCTTTTAGAGACACACCCTCTCCCCTGTGTCACTGACTTCTATCTCCACATTGCCCTCTGCTGCTGAAACAGTGCCATCCATGGGTATGACCAACTCCCCGCCTCTGGCTGCATCCTAGCTCTTTCTTCATGAAGAATGTGATTGTTCATTTTGTCCACAAGATAAATATTTAAAAGGAGGAGGGGTTCTGCAGAGAGGATGGATCTGACTGTTTCTGGGCCCTGTTTTTTCATCCTTCCTAATCTCCCATCTTCCCATTTCTGCTTGTACTAACATCACCTTGCAGTGGAGAACTCTGCTTTTCTAGTCAGCAAGCTCCAGGTCACTGGTGTGCAATCAGCTTGGTGTGCAGCAGCAAGCCAAAAAAGGGCTTCTGTTAAGGAAACTATTTTTTCCCCCTCTCTGCTATCAGACACACCAATTTCAAAGTGAGCAAATCTCTTTCTCAATGGACTTTACTGATTTATGCAAGAGTTAGTCTCCAACATCCTGAATTTTCCTGTTTGATGCAACTGTGTTAAGAAGATGGACATACTAGGGGCGCCTGGGTGGCTCAGTCAGTTAAGTGTCCGACTTCGGCTCGGGTCATGATCTCGTGGTTCGTGAGTTCAAGCCCCGTGTCGGGCTCTGTGCTGATGGCTCAGAGCCTGGAGCCTGTTTCAGATTCTGTGTGTCTCTCTCTCTCTGACCCTCCCCCGTTCATGCTCTGTCTCTCTCTGTCTCAAAAATAAATAAACGTTAAAAAAAAAAAAGAACATGGACATACTAAGAATACATAATAGGCCATGGGGGTAACCAGCTGGAGGTGTCCTCACTGACTTCGACCTCAGCTTCTTCCCTCAGCCAATTATACATTCGTTGTGGGGTGTGTGCTACTTATGGCACTGCACCAGTTAGGGATACTTTGAGTTATAGTACCAGAAAGGCTGACTCAATCTGGACTAAGGGATAAAGGGAACCTGCTAGCTCAAGTAACTGAAGCTTCAAGAAGTAGATTAGCTTCAGGCAAAGCTTGATCCAAAGCTTTGGATACTTGGTCCTCAAGTATGATGATTAACCATGTTTTTTTCTGCATTTCTGATTTCCCTTCAATTTTAGAGCTTCATCTTAGGATAAAGCTGTAAATTGAATCACTTTGCTTGTAGGCACTTTCAGGTTTTACAAATTATCCCCTTGAAACCCCTTCATTGAGCTTTGAGAGGAGGAAAGGGGATGACCTTACCTTCACAAAGGTGGAACCCACTAGGCTAGCCATTCTAGTTCCTTTCTGTCTCCCCTGAGAGTTAGCAAATGATATTGTTCATCAGGGAACTATGCACACAGAGGACCCCTGAAAGAGAGAGACAGAGACAGAGAGAGAAAGAGAGAAGGAGAAGGAGGAGGGGGGAAAGAAAGAAGTATTGGGAGCAGCTGTGTTTCTACCACATGGACTGAGTTTCCCACTGGATTCCTAGAAATAAGATAGCTAGATTAAAGAGTATGTACATTTAAACATTTGGTAGGAACTGTGCCATTGCTCTTTGAAAACCCTATAAAAAATTCCACTTTTTGATACAAAAAAACTAGATCATTTAAAACAAAATGAAGCAAGTATGCCTTATCAAAAAAATTAATATATGTTTGCATTTCTCGTGTGTATGTTGAATTTCTCCCTCTTAAATTTTACAACAGAGACCATGGCTGAGTCTACCTTTCTTATACTTAAAAACATCATCTAGGCTAGAAGTCAGCAAACTTTGTTTACAAAGGGTAGATAGTAAATGTTTATGGTTTTGCAGGCATACAGTCTCTATTGCAAGCATCAACCCTGCCACAGTAGTGGAAAAGCAGCCACAGACACTATGTAATAGAATAAAACTTTATTTACAGAGACAGGCATTGTGATGGATTTGTTCTGAGGACTATAGCTTGCTAACACTAATCTACATAATCTAAATAATTTGGCATTCACAATAGAAGTCTTGTTGTGTATATTGGTTATTTTTTTCCATCTCTAATGTTAGCCACTGCTTTTGTAGAGCATGGATTCTAGGAAACTTATATCCAGGTAACATGTCTATTGCTATATGCACTTTATTAAGAAAAGAGTGGTGGGGCGCCTGGGTGGCTCAGTCGGTTGAGCATCCGACTTTGATTCAGGTCACGATCTCGCGGTCCGTGAGTTCGAGCCCCGCGTCGGGCTCTGGGCTGATGGCTCAGAGGCTGGAGCCTGCTTCCGATTCTGTGTCTCCCTCTCTCTCTGCCCCTCCCCCGTTCATGCTCTGTCTCTCTCTGTCTCAAAAATAAATAAAAGTTAAAAAAAAATTAAAAGAAAAAGAAAAGAGTAGTAAATCCTTGTTGATGAATTCACTGGTTTTTGGTCCTCTGTCTGCATGTAAAATCACTTGAAGTTTCGCTAAAAGTATGGATCTGTAGATCCAAACCCAAGGAATTCTACTGTGAGCATTTTTTAAACTTAAAAAAAATTTTAAGAATGTGTATGTACTTTTGAGAGAGAGAGAGAGAGAGAGAGAGAGAGAGAGAGAGACAGACAGAGGTGAGTGGGAAAGGGGCAGAGAGAGAGAGAGGGAGACACAGAATCTGAAGCAGGCTCCAGGCTCTGAGCTGTCAGCACAGCCCCCTATTGTGAACATTTTAAACAACCATCCCTGCTCTGAGGAATGCTGGCACAGGTTTGCATCTTAGTTATTTATTAGCTGAATGACCATGGCCAAGTTGTTTTAACTCTCTGAGCTGACATTTCCTCTTCTGTCAAATGGAAACCTTGGTGAAATTGTTAGGATTTATAGGACAGTGCATAATTCTTAAGAAATCTTGGTTCATGAGAAAAATAAACTTAAATGCATGAATTTTTGTTAAGAATGAATATACTTAGGGGGGCGCCTGGATGGCACAGTCGGTTAAGCATCCGACTTCAGCCAGGTCACGATCTCGCGGTCCGTGAGTTCGAGCCCCGCGTCAGGCTCTGGGCTGATGGCTCAGAGCCTGGAGCCTGTTTCCGATTCTGTGTCTCCCTCTCTCTCTGCCCCTCCCCCGTTCATGCTCTGTCTCTCTCTGTCCCAAAAATAAATAAATGTTGAAAAAAAAAATTAAAAAAAAAAAAAGAATGAATATACTTAGTACATACACATTATGTGCTAGGTGCATAATATTTTATAGAATAATCATTGTTTTCTAACATAATGTTTTATTTTTAACTTTCAGGAAAATGTAGATACTGGTATAATTGTCATTTCCTTCCTGCTGAGTTCTCCTCTTCAGATTTTCCTACTCTTTGCCCCCATAATTTTTCCAACCAGAGAGCCTGACTTTGTCACAAAACAAAACCAATAGAATCACCCGAAAGACTGGTTTGCTTTTAAGAAATTCCATTATTTCACACGGCTGAACACGGAAGTGGTAAATAACATTCTATAAATATTTGTTGGTTGATGGTTTTGAAACAGTTTCCCCCTTGAAAAAGCTAAACATAAGCACTCACCTATACCCTATGTGTCAACCACTGTGTGATTGGAGGTGGTGTGTGTGTGTGT